GTTCTCATCTGTGAGCATGCTCTTGATATATGTATTTTAGGTGTGTAAATGTATAATTGCCTTTTCATTCTTTATTTAAATTTGTAGTTAAAACAACTAAAAATAAATGTATTTTAAAGTTTAGAATTAGACACACAGGTTTCACAGGTTTACGCTGAAAACAACAAAATGGAACCTCAAGGTTGATCTAGGAAAATGTGTGAGGGCCCCATTGAAATCAATACTGCAGCAAACTCCTCCCAGTTCAAACACAGTTTGGAGGAGTGTGTCTTGCTGAGATGGGCTGCAGAACCAATTTACAACTCAAATTTTGTTAGACCAAGGGAACATACAACATAACAAGATAGCACATAAAAAAAGGCTGCACTCTAAACCCGGATTTTGTTAATAAAACATTTTAAGTGGTCATTACTTATTCTTTATTGTTCTTTAGAAAATGGTGTCATTACTAAATAAAATTAGCTGTTTGCACTAATCAGAAGAAAAAATTGAGTGTAATGATCATGTTAAGAAGAGACAACTCAGTGCGTTACGTTTTTGTAAGGGAGGGGAGGGGCCTTGATTGCGTCAGGTCTTGACGTGAGCAGAGCGCTGGCTGATGAGTGTCTTCTGGCTGCTGGTGCACGTTTACCGTGGATTTTTTGAAAGCAACGTGACATGGTGAGTGTGTAAAGAAGTTTTTATCTGTTTATATATTTCTGAAAAAAACGATAACCCAAAAATCCGGACCGATGTTTAACTCTAAAATGTTAACGTAGTGTTAATGTGTCGGTCAACGCAATTTTTTTCCCCTGTCGGTTCACAGTTAAGGTATAACAGTATAATAAATTAGCTTTTTCTGTCGGGTCACCGTTTATAACGCTAACCAGCATTCACATGGATATAGCATATTGTTGAATACTGTGTGTTCATGTTCCTCTAAACAATTTACAATTGTTAACAAGCAAAAATGTTTTCTTATGCAAAAAATGTTACTTGTCTTTTGGTTGAAAAGTTAAGTACAACTTTTTGTGAACAATAAACAAAAAAAAACATTGAAATGTTGTTATTGTTTATTTCTTTAAAAGTAATTAAAATAATTGTACAATTTAAGTAGTATCATTTTAAAATTATAAGACATATAAATATAACAATTATCACTAAAAATCATTTGTTAATATTTTTTTGTTCAACTTAATAGTTATTTTATAAAACATATCCTTAAAAAAATTCATAATGTGAACTAATGCTTTTTAGTAAAGATTACTAATGCCAACTTGATTTGTCTGCTACACCCACTAAATGTTCTAAGTTAATACAACTTAACCTGTTTAGTTTCACCCTGTGTAAAAACTAAAATTGTTTAGTGCAACGGGTTTCCACGCAATTTTCTAGTAAAGTCAACTAATTCGGGTTAAGAGTGTATGCACTTGAAGGAATGTTCTCGTAAAGTCCAATTTATTCCAATTGGATTGAATCCTGTAAAGATGAGTTTGCCTCTTCGTGTTATCAAAAACAAAGATGAGCAGTCTGGTGCAGAAACTAGCTTTTGGATGACCAGTCTGGTTGACCGATACAAGAATAGGCCAAACACGAGTTTGAGATTCAATGTCTTGCAAGTTTTTGCTCCGAAAACAGGATATTGTCAAAATCAGAGGTTTCTTCACAAAGAAGACAAGGTGATTAAGCTTAACAACAACTGCGGTTATATGATGAAGAGAACTCGAACTGAACCTGCTGTTGTCCGATATCCGAGATTTTCTCCAAAAAAAGATCCTGAAAAGTACTTTCATTCATTGTTGCAACTTTTCTTGCCACATTATGAAGACTGTCAGCTCAATCTTGATACTCCCTCAAGATGGCGGCGCGTTCACACGCTGCGGCTTCTCTTTAATCAGTCTAAATAAGCTCTTTTTGCACTACAAATCATTATATCTGCACTGTTGTTTACTTCACTGGTTTGCACTCTATCTGCCGTGTGCTGCTTTATATATATATATTTTTTTTTTATATATTTTTTTACGTTACCTTATTTGTATATTTGTATAGTTGTATTTTATATTTAATCTGTATATCTGTATTTATGTTCTACTGTTAGTGTTATCTGTATGCACCAAGGGTCTGAGAGTAACGCAATTTCAATTCTCTGTGTGTATGTGCTGTACATGTGGAAGAATTGACAATAAAGCAGACTTGACTTGACTTGACTTGACTCAAGCCTGAGAGTTTTACCACTTATGAGGAATTCTACAACAATGGTGCTGTGAAATGTGGAAGTAATGTGACAAAAGTAAAATGTATTGTCGATGCTAATCGAGCACTGTTTGAAAAGGAAAGTGACAAAATAGATCGAGCTCAACTGCTTTTGGAGCAGGGTGTTGATTTGGAAGATGCTTGGGCTGCATTGTGTCCTGAAACAGAAAAGGAACGTCATGAATGCCTAGAACTAAAGAAGAGTAATATAATTCCTGATGAAGATGATTCTGAGCCTTCTATTCCAGATCTTGTAGCGAACCCTCGAATTCCATACAGTATTGAAACCAACCATGCTGGAATGTCTAGAGAAGAGGCGTTATGTTTACTAAGATCATTAAATGCACAAAAATCTGCAATCTTTTACAAAGTGCGGAAATGGTGTCTAGAAAAACTTCTTGGAGAAATCCCTGAACCATTTCACTTGTTCGTTACTGGTGGAGCAAGCACAGGGAAAAGCCATTTAATCAAAGCAATATACTACGAATCTTCCAGACTTTTATCTCAGCTGTCCGAAAACCCTGATGATAGAAGTGTGATTTTAACTGCATCAACTGGAGTGGCTAGCTACCACATTGGTGCTTCCACAATTCATAATACCTTTTCGGTAGGTGCCGATGTCAAACTGCCATATCAGCCGCTAAGTGATGACAAAATCAATTCACTGCATGCAAACATGGGAGGTTTGCAGATTCTGATCATTGATGAGGTGTCTATGGTTGACCATCACCTTTTGTCTTATGTTCATGGGAGATTGAGACAAATTAAGCAAACTGGTGACTACTCCATTTTTGGAAAAGTCAGTTTGGTCTGCGTTGATGATTTTTACCAGCTTCCACCTGTCAAGGGAATTCCCCTGTATGTTGATCCAAAAGGAGTGAATCTTTGGGATAACAAGTTTGAAATTGCCGAACTAACACAAGTTGTCAGGCAACAAGATGCATCTTTTGCTGAAATGTTAAATCATCTTCGAGTTCATAAAAAGAAGGAAACTCTAAGCCCAAGCGACATTAACATGTTGAAGCAACGTGAAACAGGTGAAGAATGTAATGCTATTCATATATTTTCTACAAATGGTCAGGTTGATGAATACAATATTCAGAAACTTATTGCGTGTTGTCCTGAGGCAATCACTATTCGAGCTAGAGACTTTGTGAGAAATCCAGAAACTGGAAGAATAGGATCAAAAGTTGGATTTCATGCGAAAGTTTTCAACTCCTGTTTGGACAAATGTGTTTCCTTGGGTGTTGGAGCCAGAGTAATGCTAAGGAAAAATCTTGATGTTTCAGATGGACTTGTCAATGGAGCCTTTGGCACAGTTGTCCACATAAGCCAAAAATAAAACCTGATGATGATGATGATGATGATGATGATGACTTCCCAACAGCTATTCATGTTGAATTTGATCATCCAAATGTTGGTCAAATTCAGAGATCGAAGCAACGACAGAAATATTCCTCAAATTCTACTGTTATTTAAGTGGAAGCAGATCAAGTCACAAACGATGGTGGTTTAAGATGTCAGTTTCCACTTAAATTGGCATGGGCATGCACTGTTCACAAAGTGCAAGGACTCACAGCAGACAAAGCGGTCATCTCACTTGACAAGGTATTTTGTCCGGGACAAGCATATGTTGCACTGAGTCGTGTGAGAACCCTCTATGGACTAATGATTAATGACTTCAAAGAGTCTGTCATATATTGTAATGAGAAAATCGACTCTGCTATGAAAAACATGCTCCGACTTACGTTAGAAAATCACAGTGTCATAAAGACACCTGATAGGTTTACAATTGCTCTTCATAATGTACAAAGTCTTCGAGCTCATGTTCAAGATATTCAAGTTCACGGACAGCTAATGAATGTGGATTGTATCTGTTTAACTGAAACTTGGCTAAAAGTTGAAGATGATGTACAGATACCAGGATTTGTTTTTAAGAACAAACCGAGAGCTAAGTGTTATGATGAGAGCACTCCACTTTTTACTGATTTAAAACGACAAAGAGGTGGTGGAGTCGGAGTATTCTGTTGTGAAGGCATTCATTTTAACGTTATCATTCCAGAACCTTGCAACTTGGAATGTCTATACTTTGCAGTTCCACATATAAGTTTGAATGCTGCTTTGCTGTACAGGCCTAATTCATATCCACTTGACATGTTTCGACAAAATATGTTACATGTTATTAATGAGCTGGAGAAACATTCAGGAAAGAAAGTGATTATGGGAGACTTCAATGAGGACATCTTGACATCATCTACAATTGGAACATTAATGGAATTACATGGATAGAGTCAACATGTGCAACATCCTACAACTGAGAAAGGAACGCTGATAGACCATGTCTATGTTAAAGATGCAGAAAACGTTTCAATCGAAATCGTGCAAACCTATTACAGTTACCATCAGGCAGTACTGATACAGGTAGGCAGGCTGAGGGAATGATTGTGACATGTACTGAAATCATTATAACTGCATTCTCTTTTCTTTTCGGTACCCTTATTCTGAGATTCCAATGGGCATACAACTGGAGAACAAGTGTATAACTTGAGACGGTATGTTCTTAGACTATCTATATCTAAACGACTCTTATAATGATCCATCAGTTAAATCATCAGTTGAATCTGTACAGATGTTCCATGTTATCAATGAAGGTCTATCTGAAGGCAATCCATTTTATGTATGCAACACACTGAAATTAGAAAATGGTATCATTGTATTGTCTGTTCTGTTTTTGTGTCCATACCATGTGAACACTATCCTGAGATTCCAAGATCCACAGAGTCCAGTCAATCCAGCCTCAAGTACAAACCACTGATCGTCATTCACAATCCTACATCTCCCATAATTGCTCTTCTTTCTTGAGCTAATAAGGTTCATCCAGCCAAGGTAATTGTAGTATTTCATTTGTATTCAGCTTTATGCTTGCTTTATTTTGAATTCTGTTTAATTATCCTTACTTTTAAGAGATTTATCTAATTTTTTATTGACTTCAAGTATATTACATTACTAATGTATTTTATTATTAATCTAATTTCAGTCATATTCTAAGCCATCCAAACAATAATGGATGCTTCCAAACATCATAGGAAGCATCCACAAAGACTGCCTGCATCCATCCAGTTGTCTCCTAATATATCAAAATTAAGTTCATGGAACAACACAAAAATGGTCAAAATGTACTAAAACTAACAAAGGTAAGTTGACTCAGGAGTGCCTGGTTACACAAACATTTTTCGGTTTAAAATATAATAAACTGTTTTAAAGGCATTGCTAAATTCATCAACTATATGCAAGTAAGCACATGCAAGTTATCTTTTCAGACATATGAAATGCACTGAAGTCATAATTTCCCCCATGCAAGAGATTCTATACTCCATTCAACACATCATTCTATAGTCCAATAACTCCCATAATGAAGAAAATTACTGATAAAAATGTAAATGTAGTAGTGTAATGTCTGCAAAACTTGAATTGATTCATTTCTTCAAGCACTGTTTCACCTACTAACAATACATCTTCAGGTTTATGCATCAAAACGCAATAACTAGTCTCCACTACTCTCAAAAGGTGAGTGTTGAGAAGGTGTCTACATTAGTTGCAAAATGTATTTGTTGTGTAAGCATTTCATTTACCAAGCACCTAATGTTCTATTAATGTTTTATTTATTTTTTTTTAGATTTCTGCAACTATACTTGGAACTTCCTCCTTATCCAATATGTAATTCTCTGCTCCATGAACTTTTTTTATGAAGAAGGACACAAGTGATAAAAAGGTACATTTAATTGTATAATGTTTGCAAAGCTTAGATTAAGTATTTTGTTTGCGCAGTCATTAAAGCAATAACAATATTCTTTTATTTGTGCAGCATAACTCAATAACTACTGTCCACTACTCTCAAAAGGTGAGTGTAGAGACGGTGCAAAATATTTTTGTTGTGTAAACACTTAACCAAGCAGTTAATGTTCCTTGAATGTATTTTCAGATTTCTGCAATGACCTACACTTCTAACTTCCTCCTTATGCATTATATGATTCTCTGCTCCATGAACTGTTTTTATAAAGAAGCACAAAACTGATAAAAAGGTAAATTTAATTGCATAATGTCTGCAAAACTTGAATTGACTCGTTTCTTCAAGCACTGTTGCACCCAATAACAATACATTTTCAGGTTTGTGCATCAAAACTCAATATCTACTGTCCACTACTCTCAAAAGGTGAGTGTACATCTGGTGTCTACGTTAGTTGCAAAATGCTGTTGTGTAAAGACTTTATCAAGCAGTTGATGTTCCATGAATGTATTTTCAGATTTCCACAATGTGCTACCCTTGAAACTTCCTCCTTATCCATTATATGATTCTCCGCTCCATGAACTGTTTTTTTAAAGAAGCACACAACTGATAAAAAGGTCAATTTAATAGTTAATCTAAGATTTGCAGACATTATACACTTTTCTTTGAGCAGTAATTAAAGCAATAACAATGTTTTTCAGTTTTGTGCAGCATAACTCGATAACTACTCTCAAAAGTTGAGTGTAGAGATGGTGTCTACATTACAGAACAAAAACATTTTGCAACTAAACACTTTATCAAGCAGTTAATGTTCCATGAATGTATTTTCAGATTTCTGCAATGACCTACACTTCTAACTTCCTCCTTATCCATTATATGATCCTCCGCTCCATGAACCGTTTTTATAAAGAAGCACACAACTGATAAAAAGGTAGAATATAATATCCTTTATGCTTATTAATCAGAAGTTGATACTAATTTGAGTTTAATTTATTGATTTTCTGCTTCTCTTTCTTACAGTGAAGACAAAACCATTCTCAACTATCAATTCAGAAAATGTCCCGGCAAAAATCTAAACTGATGATAAATAAAAATGGGTGCTCCTGGTGGATTGAAGACGAACTTGATTTTCTGGGAAGCAAGGTGGTCTTGTAGCTCCTCATGTAAAGCAGCAAAGGACTCCTTCAGCTCTCGTTCTCCACCCTTGAAGTTAGTGCCTTGATCACTTAACAATTCGTTCGGCTTCCCACGTCGAGCGATAAGGCGTCTCAGGGCCATCAGGAAGGAGTCTGAATATTTAAGGGGGTCTGAATACTTTCCGTACCCACTGTATATACACTGCCCTGGTCGTAAGGCACTTGAATAATAAGCCCCACCTCTTCTCATTTCGGCGTCCGATCTTAATGATGTAGGGTCCGAAACAGTCCATGCCAGTTGAGAAGAAGGCAGGCTTAAAGAGCTGTTGTCTTGCAAGTGGCAAGTCAGCCATACGAGGAACTTCTGGTTGTCCCTTCCATTTTCGACACTCTCTACATTGACGTTGGTGTCGCCATACTGCTTCACGGCCTCGCAATACCCAGTAAGTCCTCCTTAACTCTGCGAACACTCGTTCTGGCCCAGGGTGGTGCAGCTTCTTATCATAATCCTTGATAATGAGTTTGGTCACAGGATGTTGAGGGGCAAGGACGACGGGATGAATAGAATCCAATTCTGCCTCACTGCAGCGTCTTAGACGTCCACCCACACGAATAAGACCACTGGTAGGGTCAAACTCAGGAGAGAGAGAAGCCAGCCTGCTCATACCGGATACTGGTTTCCCAGACTTCAGTTGGACCATCTCGGTAGGGAAGGACTCGGTCTGCATTTGACAAAGCACTGTTTATTCTACCTCTCTCTGTTTGTCAGCGCATGTAATGTTCGCCACCCCGTGGAGTTGCTGACTGCATGCCTTTATGAACTCTGCCAGTGTGTCATACTGCTGTGGATTTGGCAAAGGTATAACTGTAGTCGATCCACAAAATGCAGACTGCCTCATCTCATTACTCTGTTCTTCAGTAGGCAAGAAAGGTTGCTTGGGCCAATTCGCTGGCGGCAGTTTGAGACATGAAGGACCTTGATTCCACTGGCTTCCTTTTACTAGGTCACACAGGCGTTTACCTCTTGTGATGCTGTCCGCAGGATTGTCCTCGGATCGTATGTAATGCCAGGTCGCAGATGCTGTGAGTTCTTGTATCTCCACCACCCGAGTTCCCACGAACACCTTGTAACGACAAGAACTTGACAACAGCCAAGTAAGTACAGTCATAGAATCCGACCACAGTGTTAAGGAACCAATGGGGATGGTGAGTTCTGTGACAAGGACCTTGGAGAGCTGGGCACCACTCAGAGCTGCGCATAGTTCAAGGCGAGGTATAGACTGCTGCTTTCAGGGGGCAACCCATGATCTGGCCGCTAGAAATGCAACTTCAACTTTGCCTTCTGTATTTTCTGTCCACAAATAGGCCACGGATCCATAGGCCTGCTCCGATGCATCGCAGAATACGTGTATATCACGTCTGCTAGTTGGGAGATCCAAGTCTGGACTGGAATAGCATCTCGGCAGTGATATCTTTTCCAGATCACTCAGTTCTTTCTCCCATGAACTCCATAAGCTGAGCAGATCTTCTGGCAGTTGCGGGTCATCCCAGTCACGCTTTTTATCCCATAGACGCTGCACCAGCATTTTTGCTCGAGTGGTGTACGGGATAATATAGCCGAGGGGATTGTACTGGCTGGCCAGGACACGATAAATGCTGCGCATGGTTACTTTAGTGCAATTCACTATCCTGTGCTTGTAGTGCAAAGTGTCTGACTGACAATGCCAGAGCAGTCCAAGGGTAGATTCATGGGTATCTTGCAGTCCCTGACTAAGCCAGAGCTCACAGCTGTTCGATCTTGTATCTGAGGGAAGGTGAGCAACCACTGCCGGGCAATTACTGGCCCATTGTTGCAATTCAAAGCCTCCTTCATTTAGCAGGGCACAGAGTTGATCAACAAGATTTTTGGCGGCATCTTTAGAGGTGAGACTGTGGAGACAATTGTCAACATAGAAGAACTTCTCTATGACCTCTCTCACCTCATCTCCTGGTTGACTGTGGTCCAGCACATGCTTTTGCAGGGCGAACGTGGCACAACAGGGACTGCAAGTAGTCCCAAAGGGAAGTACCTGCCACTGGTACACATCTGGTGCTTGTTCTAAAGTCATGTCTCTCCACAGGAACTGGAGTAAAGGTTTGTCATCAGGGAGCAGCCTCACCTGATGAAACATCCCACGGATGTCACTGCTTAAGGCTGTGGAATGTTCACGGAAGCGTAGTAACACTGCCAACAGGGTTGGACTTAAGGTGGGACCTGGAAGAAGCAGCTTGTTCAAATTCTGGCCCTCATACTGGAATGAGCAGTTGTAAACGACCCGATTCTTGCCGTTGTGTGTGACCATATGGTGAGGGATGTACCATGATTCTTGTGATCTCTCAGCCTCGCATGGTTGCAGTTTCTCTACATAGTTAGCATTCTTGAGTCTCTCAATTTCAGTTTTGTAAGCACAGGCCTGATCAGGGTTCTTCATCAGCTTTCACTCAATGCTTCTTAGCTGCGGCAGAACAGCTTCTTTTGGCATGTGCAGAGTTGGCATGTGTTGTATGCGAAGGAGCGGGGTCGCATAACGCATGACACCATCCACGTTAACTCTTACCGTTTTCTCTTGCAAGAGTCTGATGGCCTCTTGATCAAGTTTTGACCGCGTCACTACCTTCTCACTGCGGTACGGAATTACATCCATCTGCCATAGCTTTTCCACTTGGGCAAACAGATCAGCATTGGGGGAGATGGCAGTAAAGAGGCATTGGTGAGTGTTGAGTCTGTACTTGATCTCGTGTGTAGGGCCTTGTAGAGTCCAGCCTAGCCTAGTTCGAACTGCAGCAGGTCCTCCTGGAGGGCCTAGGTGAACAGGCTCAATTGGGGTAACAAGGTGTGGACAATCTGAGCCAATTAGCAGTACAGGCTGTACTCTATCTATTTGCTGCAAGGGCAATCCAACTAAGTGTTTGTACATCTTATGGAGGGATGCAACAGGGTGAGTTTGCTCAGCGAGACCAAGCCTTTCGGCCGTAAAGGCACCTTGAATGGGGAATTTCTTGTGTCGGTTAGTGACTGGAGACACGGTGAACGAGACTGCCGCCCCATGAAGAACCTGTTGGTCCTGCCTCACTGTCCGCAGTACGAGGTTCTCAGGCTGCCCCTTCAAATTTAACTGCTGTGCTGCTGTGTGTAGCAGTATGGTCCTCTCCGACGCATCGTCTAACACAGCATATGCCTCAATAGATTTGTCCCCGTTGGTGATGATGACTTTGCTCACCTTTAGGAGAACCTTGCGGCTGTAGACAGGGCGATCCACATACAGGACGTCTTTGGTGGTGTTAACCAGACAGGAGTTCTCTCTTGTGTCCGTTTCAGATTCATTATCTACCGTCCGTTCATTTACATCATGCAGAATAAGAAGGTGTTTCCTATGGCACGTCTTACAGGGGGATTTTAGGTTACATTTGGAAGCAT